GTGACTGTGGCTGTGGATGTGCAGGTTAGTGCATAATCTCAAAGAGTATGAATCTGGATATTCGCATGAACAAAATACGCCCACATCCACATCCACACCCACACCCACGCACCCACCCCCACCCACACACCCAAACCCACACCCACACCCACACACCCACACCCACTCCCACACCCTTGTCATAAACCCATCTAATCATATTGAGAGTGTGGGTGTGGATGGTGGTATGGGAATGAATTACACCCATACCTGGAGCTACACCCGCACCCATACCCAAAATGATCAATCTACTAGTTATGATTTACGATAAACTTCTGTTTTCGTACATGTATTCACTTTCTTGTCAAAAGTTTACTAGTATTGTCTTTTAAATGGACGCGGGTACTTTTTCTTCACGACACTCACGCTCTCTTTTTCAGGTAGGAAACTTTATTGCGTGCATTAACGATAATATTCCCTCGAGTCGAACTTTGCTAGGGTGTGGGAGGGAGTATATTTTTTTGGCTACGCACATGCAAACCATTATCGGTTTATTTGCTCAAGAAATGAAATACAGAAGTTTGAGGTAGAAGAGAAGAATTTTATTCCGTTACCAACAGAAATATTTGTTATTTTAACCGTGTTTCGACTTCTTTTCTATTCTTTTCGCACACTCAGCTTCACAGGCATTGAAGAAATGCTGTTTTTTCTTTTTACTTTCTTCGAAAAGAAAAAACAAAATAGTCGTCCGTTATAAAACAAAATATAGCTTGATAGCAAATGATTGACGAGTAGGCGCTGCCACTGTCGAGTTTAGCAGACGTAAGTTTTATGAATATATTCCACTTATAAACCAATAATCTCTTGATTTTTTTCGCATCAGTTAAAAACTACAATTGATATTGTTGTTCACTAATTCCATTAAAGTAATATTTTATATTGATGAAAACTTAACCTTGAAGAAAATTGGAATCGTTTTTTATTTAAATCATTTGATTTCTTTGAAGTTCAAAATATCCATATCTATAAAGCATTAAACTGAAGAAGTTCCATCTGATATTCAAAATAACAAAAATATTCTTTTCTCATAAATTTATTTTTCTAGTAGATTGTCATATCGAAATATTTATTCACGATTAAATATAACTGGAGATATGTGTACCTGTTTTTGTAATCGATTATGTGCAAGTTTGTTTAAACATGAAGTTAGATATCCAATCGAACGAAAAGTAGTCGATACTTCAGGACGATTAGGTTCTCTATATGATGCATCAACAGATACTTTAATTGAACGACATTCACCTCAAGAAACGAAAAGCAAACTACTAGATGAACCCTTCGTATGTCGACTGTTTTCAGGTAACGAGTCAAGAGAACTCATTGATTTTCTAAGATATGTTGGTTTTGATGATGCAATGCAGCAAAGTATTTGTCTACAGATGGTCAAACCACAAGGCATTAGTCGTCTTATTGAATATAATCAATCTGTTAATGAAAATACTCGTTTTCTATATTATTCTTATAGGCATAGAGAAGAAAAACAAAAGTGTAAATGTCGACAAGCAAACACAACCAATCCAGCATTATTAATTCCGACTGAGTCGACTTATAAAATAAAGAAAATAATATGGGGCATTGAGATTTTATTTATAATACAAATTGAAAAAAATCAACCCATCGACACAATTCATCAAATACTTCTTTATATTTGTCAACAGCTTGGAAGCAACTACCTTCCAATTCAATTGCATAATAATGATCGACGTCTCATCGATCAGTTAACCAATATTACTGTATATGGATCCGAAACGTGTGTCGATCCACACAGTACATCAATGTTGAGTACTCTTACTCGAATACAGGATTGGCAAAGCAACTTAAACTTTCATCAACCACTTATATATACGATGGAAAAGCTAAGAAGACATAATGATGGTTCATCAAATTCAGAAGTTGATCATTTACGTCGTTCAGACGATTTTGCTATTACGGAAGTCAATATTATAATTAATCCTTTAAATAGTCGTATTAAAAATATTACACAAAATTTTCAAAATCTGCCAAAAAGTTTTTCGAGTATAACATTGAATCAATGTTTAGAAGATCTTCAACAACAATATCGTTCTGTATTGGTCTCACAGAATAATCTTCTAGAATGTTTTAGAGAAGAAGTTGTAAATATTCGTCGACAATGTCAAAGGTCAATAGTATTAAACAATATCCTTAAAAATCAACGTTACGAATGTTTAGCTAAAACTGAAATGGAAAATTTTCAAAATATTATTCAACAATTGTTAAATAAATCAAAATTCTTGGAGACATTAAACGAAGATCAAATTCAATACATCAATGCAAACGATATCCGTTCTAATAAAAAAATACTAACGACAATTAGCGACGTTGATACCATACTCGAACGTACTTATTTCAACGATAATGTCATTTTATGGTATTCAAGTGACAATATGAAATTAGAACGAGAAGATGAATGGAGACAAACATATCAAGAATTACTTTTAGAATTACCGCGCTGTGAACCACGAAGAAAATTGATCTATGTTGATTTTAGTGATTTCGAACAAAAATTAGAATATTTTAAGATCGTAAGATTTCCATCGACAATACACAATGATGATAAGTCAAGTAAGAAATTGAATTCAAGGAATAATGCCTCTTTGAGTCTGCTTCATAGTTAATATTGAATTCTTCTTTGAAAAGAAACGTCCATTGACTTAAAAATATTTTATTGAAATTATTTGAGCTAAAATACTAGACAGATTATCAGACAAATCATAATCATTTAATATCTTAAAAAATTCACCAGAATTGAAAAATGAATAAATATTTCTATTTTGAAATAGCATCTTTACCACCAATTGAAATTAATGTTTTACTCATGGGAGAAACAGGCGTTGGAAAATCAACATTTATTAATGCATTTGTCAATTACTTAAAATTTGAAAAGCTCCAACAAGCTGAACAAGGTGAACCAATTGTATTAATTCCAGTTTCATTTCTCATTACTATTGGTGAACATTTCAATGAATTTATTGTTAAATTTGGTGATGTTGATCAAAATGAAAATTATGAACAACAAGGCCAATCAGTAACACAACAATGCAAATCATATGTATTCAACTTGAATGATAGATTATGTTTACGTTTAATTGATACGCCTGGTATTGGTGATACACGAGGAATAAATCAAGACGTTAAAAATATCAATCATATATTGACTTATATTAACAATCTTTCTCATTTAAATGCTATTTGTTTATTACTTAAACCCAATGCTTCTCGATTAAATATTTTGTTTCGTTCATGTGTCAAACAGTTATTAACTTATTTAACACCAATTGGTTATAATAATATCATTTTTTGTTTTACGAATTCTCGAGCAACTTTCTATGCACCAGGTGATACTGGTTCATTGCTACGTAAAATGCTCAATGATGAACATCTTGATAATATTCCATTCAAAAAAGACAATACTTTTTGTTTTGATAGTGAATCATTTCGATATTTAGCTGCAAGAAAATGTAATATTGATTTTGATGATTATCAACAACAAGAATGTCTTAATAGTTGGAATACATCAGTAAAAGAATCAGTTCGTTTACTTAAGCATATTCAAACTTGTAAACCATACAATCTAGGAGATTGGATGTCACCAAGAAGAACTATTCTTGAGATATCAATGCTTGCTCGACCTCTCATGGAAACATTACGTTTATTGATTTATAATTGGCAACTAAATGAAGCTAAATTAATCGGTAATCATATAGTATTAAATTCCGAGTCAATCAATATTGATATGTGTACTTATTGTGCAAAAGTTGATATCGTCGAAATCGGTCCATTTCGTTTAATTCAATATAAACCAATCATTTCAAAAACTAGTGCAAATCAGCATCTTCGTTGTCCAACAGACAGAAAACACTTTTCAATTGAAAACATACTGACATATCAATTCGTACCACTAAAAGTCGATCTTAAAAATGAACAATTAGAAAATTCTTTTCATAATTTTCTATTTAAATGTGATCAACTACTTTATTTCTTACAACAACAAGAATCATCAGCTCAAGATGATCCATTTCTACCTATACTCGAACGATATCTCGAAGAAGAAAAATATATATCTCAAATTCCTAATATGAATTTTAATATGAATCAAAAAG